ATAAAACCAGAATCCAAGTCTAGGCCTTTCTGACTCTAAGCTCAACATGTTGTCCAGACTCCTCAGGGATAAGGACACCCCAAGGACACTTTGGCCTTGGACACCCAAAGACCAGAGGAGACCCTAGTGAAGATGCACAGGCTACGATGGGTCAGTGAGTTGGAACATGGGGTCAACCTCAGGGCTGTGCTCAGGAGAGTGTGGCTTGGACCAGGAGCGGGGCTGCCTGCCAGTGTCAGCATCCACTGGCTCCAGCCTCCCACAACTGCCCCATCATGTTGGGTTTCCATTCTGCACAGGCCTAAGCCAGTGAGTGTCTGACTAAGTGGCAGACCCAGGGGCCTCCATGCCTGGGGTGGTACCAGGAAGCCAAGGCTTCTCCGTGAATCTCATGCCCCACCCCACCCCAGGTGCACTCATGAGCCTCAGCCTGAAGCCCACAGGCCTGAGCCCCACTGACATCCCCAGTTTGCCAGGCTTATCTCCTTCTGGGGTCTCAGGCTGGCACCTTCCCAGTTTCCCATATTTCCAACCCCTCTGGTCTATGCCTGAGGCTACCCTACTTCTGGTATCCACCCAAACTTCATTGGTCTCTGCAATAGACTATGAACTTGAAAGTGACAGACAACCCTAGAGCTGTCTGTCTGCTCCCCCTTACTCTAAAAGTTGCCCCTCCGGGGATGGGCCTCACCACTTTGTTCAAGAGACAGGATGGTATAGTGGTCAGGCTCATAGATGTTAGGACCAGACCACTGGGTTCCAAGTTCAGCGCAGCCACACACTAGTTGTATGACCTTGGGCCTCACTACTTTGTTCAAGAGACAGGATGGTATAGTGGTCAGGCTCATAGATGTTAGGACCAGACCACTGGGTTCCAAGTTCAGCGCAGCCACACACTAGTTGTATGACCTTGGGCTTCACTCAAACTGTCTGTGCCTCATCTGTAAAGTGAGGCCAATAATTACAGCACTGACCTCATAGGGTGCAGTGTGAAGTAGAGGAATTAAACACTTCAGACCTCACAGTAAGCACTCAGCAGATGCTGGCTGTTATCATTATCAGCATCATGATTATCACCATCCTTGTCATTAATATTACTATTATACCGTGGCTCCAGCCATAGCTAACTGGACCAGAGATGAATACCTGACCCAGCCTGGGCCACTCAGGCTCTCAGTCCCAGGAACGTGGGGTTTGTGCCCAGGACACATAGCTCACCCCAGTGATGTGCAAGTACAGAGTTCACGAGGCAGCCCTGTTTGTCCACAGGCATGGAGAAGAGGGAGGGCCAAGTGTAGAGAGAAGAATGAAACAGACACACACACAGATGTTCCCCTAAGAGGCCATCTGGCTCCGGACACAGAGTGAGATGGAGGGTAGGGCTGCCTGGGACCCGAAGTCTCTCTGCCCCTGTTCCTGGGCTGCATTTCCTGCCCTTGGCCTCTGCAGGACACTCTGGTCCTTGAGGAAAAAATCCCCTTTGAGCATAAGCCAAATAGAATGGGCTTGGATATTTGAATCCAAAAGAGGAAACATCATCTTGTCCCTGAAAAGCAAAAAGGGGGAACATGGATGATGCTGGGAAAGAAACTGAGTCCCCTGGGTGTGGAAATCTTTGCATGTTTGCACATCACATTCACAGGGGAGACAGTGCCCTGACATTATCAGCATCCTCCCTGTTGATTTTTCTAGCAAATGTAGGTTCACACTGTCCCCAAAATGGTGCAGGGACCATCTCCCTGCCGAAGGGGAGGAAAGTGAATGTCCAATGAATAATGTCCCCCAGTTTCTCGTCACTCTACAATAAGCATGCTACTTCACTCTCTCCACTGCAAGTAAAACCCATTAGCTAATCCTGTCTCTTCTACCTTTACAACATCTTTCTAATCTGCCCAGTCTCCCCATCCCCTTGACCATTGCCTCAGCTCATATACACATCATTGTCCACCTGGACCTTCCTATCAGATGTAGATTCTTAATAAACCTTCCTAAATAAATTAACCTGAAGTTTAAAATACAAGAACTAGGCCCTACCTGGCCTGATTCAGAACAATTCAGAGTCAATCAGAACCCAAATCTCAGCCCAGAGCTCAGAAATTAGGGCTGATACCTGGAGTGTGGAGCAAAATTCTCTCCCCAAACTCAGAGGGCCAAGCCCAGCACCCCACACCCAGCTCATTTTTCATCTGAGGAGTCATATGCGGCTCAGTCTTTTCCACCAAGATCCCTTATTGTATTTTTCTCAAAGAAAAACAAGTGTCGATGGGGAGAGGGTTAACAGTTTATTCTATTTTTTCTGAGTGATTTTATCACTGTCGTTAGAACATTCATTGAAGTAAGTGAGGAATCCATCACAGGCTGACAGCAGTGTGCAGACTAATGGCTGTTAGATGGTAATAATTTTTAATATGATTTTTATTTCACTTAATTTCATATGTGCTTGACAAAAGGTCCCCAGTCACTGGGGAGCAGTGCGGAACTGGGAATATGCTCACAGGAAGGTCTATTAAGCCAGGTGCTGGAAGCATTTCAAAGAAACAACTTTGCCATTTGGGGAAAAGTCGGGAACTTGGTCAGGTGAAGGAAGCTGGTTCCTGGCACGATGTCAGCATCACCCCTACACACACACAGACACTGGCGTATCCACGCCTAACGATACATGAGTCAGAGAGATGGGCACTTAAATGATGAGCATGGCCCCACGCACGCACATTCACATGCCAGGGCCCATGTACATAGACATAACTTACATTGGGAGAGGACACATAGCCACACCCAGTAAGTCACAATCTAAGTTTTCAGAAAAACACATAGTAGATGTAGATTACACACATAAATGTGTATTTGCAAGGCAGAGAGAGAGAAGGCAAAAGAGAGATTGAGATTCATATCTTGGCATGACACAGTCTCACCCAAGGAGCCGGCTTGCTTTCTCTGTCTCTGTCTCTCTCTCTTAAACACACACACATACACACACACACACACACACACACACACACACACACACACAAAATCACATAGACAAAACATAGATTTAACCCTAGACAGAGTCACATCTCATATTCATAAAAATAACCATATATAAAATATCTCTCACAGTCACCAAAACAGACACACATATCCTGTTGGGTCTGTCCTACAGCCTGTTAATGGATCATGAAGCCCTTTGGGGTTTTATAAAAATTTTTAACTATTAGAGGAAATTGGGGGAGACCCATCCTGTGCCCAAATACAAGCCTCCAGAGGTGGCCATGGAGCAGGGAGAGAGAAAAGTCTATTTTGTGTAGCCTCAGCTTCCCAGCAAACCAGGAGCTCCTGGCAGGAATCAGGGACAGGCTGGCACAGGAAGAGCTCAGGAAGAAAACAAATCTGATCATAGCCCACGTCTAAGGTGATTTGAGGTGGGATGGGCAGGGTCTCGTGGTTGCTGGTTTGGGGCATCAGGTGCCCTCCCAGATGTACATCAGGTCAGAGTGACCCAGCCCAGACTCCAGGTCCTGGAGGGATGCTGGAAGCTCCCAATGAGGGGCTCCCAGCCACAGGAAGCCAGGCTGGCCTTGGGGCCTGCTCCCACATCAGCAGGGCCTTGAATCAAAATATGGGGTCCAGCCCAGGAACCAAGTGGGTTCTGGGTTCTTCCAGAAGAGGAAGGAAGGAAGAGAAGCTACAGTCCTCAGCCCTGAGGTTGTCTATCCACCAGACCCAGACACAGAGACAGAAGACAGAACATAAACCTCCTAGACAGGCGAAGAGAGCCCCCACATCTCACTTTGCCAATTCTTCCTTGCTCCAAAACAAGGCTTAGAAGACACTAAGAAGAGCTGACAGGCTCCATCTCTCCTTGGCTCCTCCTCTAGAGTAAGAACAGAGCAGTGCCCCACTCACACACTCTGCTATAGCAAGCTGTTGTACAGCCCTGGCCACTAGCCTACCCAGGGACCTTGCTGATCAACAGTCTGACTTCAAGAGAGCCAATCGTGTGGTGGCTAAGAGAGAAGACATTCAAGTCAGGTTGCCTGAGTTTAAACCCCAGCTCTGCCCACTCACTAGCTTTGTGAACTTGGGAAAGCTACCTAACCTCTCTGTGCCTCTGTTTCCTCATCTGTAGAATTGTAATTGTACGTCTTGACCTCACAGGTAATTGTAAGGATTAAAGGAAAGAATTGGATCTCAGAAAATGTTACCTACTTTAATTATTTTCTTTCCGTGTCTTCTGAAAAGAGTGGGAATTGGCTTTTCATGGATTTTCTTAGCACAGAGGGGAGTCCCTTGAAGGCTGGTGCAGACATCTCATGTCACTCTCCCTCCAGCTTCCCTCTTATTCCCCTCAGCCTGGGGTTCCCAGTGCCTGGAGGATTGAGGGAGGAGTCCTAAGTTATCTTATTGAGGTCAGTTGCTATTTGATCTGGGTCCCCTGACCCAGGCGCGTGCACACACACACACACACACACAGGTTTCAGACATTCCTTCTGGCCGGAGTAGCGGCACCTCCAAAGTAAGAAGCTGGCCTGAAAGCTATCAGCACCACGGACAGCAGCAAGCCTCTGTTCAGGGTGCTGACTGGGGCTTGTCTCCAGTTGTCCACATCATAATTTACCTCTTTCATACTCTAACCAGGACGTCCAGGAAGACACTTATCTGGAGACTAAGACTATGAGGGGATCAGGGTTATTGATTCATTGGGAAATACTGGGTCTAAAGAAATCTTTTTATAGAGGAGACTGTTGGTAGGTCCAGAGGCAGCCCTGCTCCTTTGCCCTGGGGGTATCTCCAAGCTCCCTTATCCTGGATTGGCCATCCCAGGCCAGAATCCACAGTGGAATGAGAAGTGGTCCAAAAATAAAGTCTTTATCTCTGGCATGGATTGTGTGCCAGGGTCTGTGCTAAGTCTTTTACATACATTATCCCAGTTAATTTTCCAATAAACCAATGAGGTACATGCTATTATCACCTCTGACTTGTAGATTAAAATCCTGACATTAGAGAAGCTATTGGCTTACCTACATTCACGCAGTTAGAAGCAGAGGAGCAGGATTCACGCACATGTCAATCCCCACAATTCCGTCCATCTTGGTGACTTATGTGATTATCCCTGTTGCTCAGACCAGTCAAAGAAGAGTCTCTCAATGAATATCTGTTGAATGAATAAATGAAAAACTGCAAAGTCAGTGTCCTAGCTTCTTCATTGCCCTGTCTCTCAACTAGGAGATCTGGTTCACCTTCAAAGTTGTTTCTTCAGACGCCAAGATTCTCCCACATATTTCTACTGGCAGGACCTCTCCTCCTCAAAACCTCTATGGAGTCTGCAATATTGAAGGACTTGACCATCTCAAACCTCCCTAGATCAGAGGCTGAAGGTCCTGAGATCTGGCTCCCCATGGTCTGGAATAGCTAGTGCTGGTTAGGCTGCAGGAGAAGCCCTGCCAACTTTGATTCTTCTGCTGGAGATACTTCTGTGGAAAGTCATAAATGGCAGTGACCATTATCATTCCTGTGTGACAACAAGGTAATCTTGGCATCTTCAGGGGACAAATTTAATTTAGTTTTCAAGGTGGCTGCAGGTCATGGCCTAACACTAGGACTTTTGAATCACAGAGTAAACAAGATTCTGCAGGAGTCTCCACATTGCACTGTATGAACTCACAAATTATCCCATAGACTTGGGACCCAGAGATTCACCTGTAGGTCAATACATAATCCATCTCAGTATAGGTTGGACCTTTCCATAACCATGTACATATGTCTTCAGGGAGGCAGGTCAACTTCTAACCTCAAAGAGCATAGTGAATATGAGTCTAGACTTGTGTCAACCATAAACAACAGGAACAAATCACTGTCAATTTAGTACCTACTGTGATCCCAGCACTATGCTAGGCACAAGACATACAAAGCTAACCAGACAAGGTCTTTGTCCTCAACAGTCCCAAAGATTGATGGAAAAGAAATGCAACTCAGTGGACAATTTATGCCAGACAAGTCTTTGTCCATGATGACTGAAGAGGAAAAGGACTGAGGTTCTTCCTGGCCATGATAGCTCATCAAGTCTCATCCCCCAAACAGCCTTCACCAGACCCAACGGTGGATCCATTCACCAGCTGCCCCAGCCCCAGACAGCATAGCCAGGTAGAAGCAGTAAACCCTAGTGGTTGTTAAAGACACTGATTCAGGAGACAGACTGCCTTTATTCAAATCCTAGTTCCTCCACCTACTAGCCATGTGCCTTCAGACATGTTATTAATCTCTCTAGGTCCCAGTATTCTCAGCTGTAAAATGGAATAATAAAACCGAACCTGTCCCTCTGATTTCAGGGAGGGTTGTAAGGATGAAATGAGTGACTGATAATAAAGAGCTTAGATTGGGGCATGGCACGTAGCAAAGGCTTTAGAAGTACCAGGTGGTGTTGGTGTTGTCAGCCCAGCACACAAGCCAGTCAGAGGGGGAAATAGCACATGGGACTCAGCCTGACATCACTCCTGCTTTTGAGTTATTCTCTGCCCAGTCTCACACCCCGCCAAAGGCAGAGCCTGGTTAGAGCCCTGCCTCGCCTCCAGGTGCCCAGGCAGCTCCCCTGAGCCTCCTTCCCCAACTTCCTTTAGCTACCATTGATTGGTGCTTAATTTGCCAAGCAGTTGGTAAGCATTATGTCACTCCACATCTTCACAATAACCCTTTTGAGGTGGGTGCTATTATCATATCCACTTCCCAGAAGAGGATCCTGAGGATCAGTGAGGTTTAAACCCAGCAGGGTGACTCCAGAGCCCAAGCTCTGAATCATTCAGCTAGACTGCCTTCATTTACAAAGGATGTGAGGCAGCCTGTCCCTGCTAAATCTTCCAGCACCCCCACTGTCCCTTGGAGCTCCTTCAACCCTTGCTGAGCTGCAGAGTGGAACTCAGTATCCCCATGTCTCCCCTTCCCACTGCCCCCGTGGCTCTGCTCACCTTTAGGTTTTGCTGCTGACACTTATGGGATCCCAGATGGGAGTTACAAACGGGCAAGTTGGGTATCCTGGACTGTGGTTCCCAAATCCAACTTCAGACAGGCTTAGACCCTGACGCTTACGTGGTATCATCGAGGGGCAGCATCCCAAGCCTACACTTTAAGGTCTTCCTCTCTCTGTCAGACTGACTCCTTCCTCCAGGGAGGGGTTATTGGCATATAGATACCCCTTACTCTCTAGGGGTGTCTGCACTGGGAGGCCCCACAGAGCCATTCCCTAGGGATGCTGCCTTACATAGCCCATAAACTGGACTTGTCCTAGTTCAGGCCATCTACAGCTATTCCTCCTCTGGATGGGAACAGTGTCACCCAGACAGGAGTGGATAAGCCTGTGCTGTACCCCACCCATTCTGGTGGGCCTGGCTTAAATCTACCTTCACCAATGGCACACATAGCATGGCCCTCTCTGCCATGCCAACCACAGCCACCCAACACACACATGCGCGCGTGCACGCACACACACACACACACACACACGCCTGGCTTTGGATGCACATGGAGCTAGATTCGAATGCTAGCTCTACCACTGGTTGGACTTGGTCCTTCTCTCTCTGGTCCTAAGTTTTTCCACTTATACAATAGAGGAGAGGGCTCCCTCTCTGAGGCCATCCTGATCCAGCATGCCTAGGCCTACAAGAGGCAACTAAACCCAGTAAAATGCCCATTCCATCCTGAAGACAGAGAACAATAGATAACAGAGGGGCGAGAGGTCTAAGGAACACTGGAGGAACCCACTGCGTCACCAAGCCTCCTCCTCTTCACATCATGTTTCCTCCCACAAGCTTTACTGAGCCAACGAAGTGGCAGTACAGTTTCCAGGTCAAAAGCTAGGTTTTGGAATAAGACAGCACTGAGTTCAAGACTCAGCTCTGCCCCTCACTGGCAAATTATCCTGCCCATTAAGCTTCAGTGTTCTCAGTTATAAACGTTGGTGAACATTACTTTCCTTTCTGGGAATTAAACAAGATGGCAAACGGGAAGTGTCTCACCTCCATGATCTCAGAAGAAAGTGGTGAGAAGAGTCATGGACTCAGAGAGCCCTAACCAGAGTCCTACCCTACAAGGCTGCTCACGACTCAGCAGGGCTCCCCAAACCCACCCCACAGAACACTATGGCCGATGGGAGCCCCTCAGGAAAGCACTTCCTGAAAAGTTTAAAACCAGGGTTACCATATGACCCAGAGATCCCACACTTAGGTGTGCAAAAAGAATCAACCACACTTGTATGCTAATCTGTACACAAGTATAAACACTTGTACAGAAATGTTATGTACATTGTATAACAGCATTATTCTCAGTAGCCAAAAAGTGGAAAACAATTCAAATGTCCACTTACTGATGAATGAATAAACAAAATGTGATACATCCATATAGTGGAATACGATTCAGCAATTAAAAGGAAGGACGTGTTGATACATGCTACAGTATGGATGCACCTCAAAAATATCACACTAAGTGAAAGGACCCAGACACAAAGCCCACATGTTGTATGACTCCATTTATAGGAAATCTCCAGACAAGGCAAATCCAGGGACAGGAAGTGGACCTGTGGTTGCCAGGATGGAAAGGACAGGGGAAGAGGGAGTGACTGCTTAACGGGTCCAGGGAGTGTCTTTGGGGGATGATGAAAGTGTTTTGGAATTAGATAGTGATAATGGTTGTACATCCTTGTAAATATGGTAAAAACCACTGAATGTTCACTACAAAAGGTTGAATTTTATGCTATGAAAATTTTGTCTTTAAAAAAAGACTGGTTGATGGGAGTCTGAACATCGGTCAGTGCCCTGAAATCCCTCCTCCCAAACCCACAGAGCCCTGCAGAGCCCTCAGAAAGCCTCGGGCCTCAGAGGAAAGGTGGTCACTGGCCCTGACCACTGCCAGGGCCAGGCGCTGGGTCAGCACTGGAACAGCCACTCCTGAGAAGCACAGACAGCAGTTAAGAGCACAGTGTGAAAACCAAGTAGATCCGCATTGAAATCTTCCCTCCACCACTTAGAATCTTCTAACTGCAGGCGTATGGTTTAACTCTCCGAGTCTTAGTTTCCACATCTCTGAAATGGGAGATGATAATATTACCTATTTCACAAAGTTGTTGTGAAAATGAAATAAAATCATCAGGTAAATTGCTTGGCATGGACCTCGATGCGTAGCAAATGCTAAATATGTGTGGCCACTGGTATCACTGAGCTCTCATTAAGTCCCACCAACATCCCTCATGGGCAAGAGTTACTATCTCCACCTTACAGACATTTCCTGTGCTCTCCTCTGAGGTCCAGGCATGCCGTGATGAACTGTGGGTTTATGGGGATACACCTAGATTGAAGGGCCAGCAGGGAGGCTGCTACAGGCAAGCCGGGGAGAGATGCTGGTGGTTTGGCCCAGGACAGTGATGGGAAGGATGGAGAGCAGGTGTAAGAAGCATTTGGAGGAGAACTTGACTGGCCTGGGTGACTTCCTGGCTGGGGGCAAAGCAGAAAGTCTCCCTAAGGATGACTGACCACTGCCAGGTTCCTTCTTGGGAGCCAGTTGGGTGCGGGGGCTGGCTGGACCCTGAGTTCAGAGTCACAGAGGGAGGAAGATCCTGGAAAGCCCAGGTTCATGGAGAGCTCAGGGCTGGAGGAGGAGATGCGGGCATCTCTTTGATGCTGGGGGAGGAAGCTGGATGGATGGATGCTGTGATGCGGGAGGGAGCTCCTGCAGGAGAGTGAGGACAGAGAGCAGGGCAGGTGCTGGAGGACTGGCCCAGGGCACAGCTGCAGTTGTGGAGACAACAGAGAAAAAGAGACTCGAAGGAGCTGGGAAGACCCAGGCAGTGGGGATGGAGCCCAGCCTGGGGGTCGCAGCACCATGGAAGAGTCAAGAAGTCACAAAGGGAAGGGAGTCCAGTGGTGCCCAGGGTGGAGATGAGAGACAGGGTTGCCACATGTCCATTATAGTACCTCCAAGGGGTAACTGGATCTACTGGGCAGTGGAGAGGGGATTGAGGGCGGTGGTCCAAGATCTGTACACGTGAAGAAGACTGTGATGGTGGGAAGATGAGGGGGTGGTCTAGGGAGGGGCTGGGCTTTTGTTTTCAAAATAGGAGCACCCTGAGGAAAGATGC